CGCGTTGTGATGAGAAGTTTACAATGTGGCGCGTTGTGATGAGAAGTTTACAATGTGGCGTTGTGATGAGAAGTCTACAATGTGGCGCGTTGTGATGAGAAGTTTACAATGTGGCGTTGTGATGAGAAGTTTACAATGTGGCGTTGTGATGAGAAGTTTACAATGTGGCGTTGTGATGAGAAGTTTACAATGTGGCGTAGTGATGAGAATTTTATTATGCTTTCTATTCATCACAACTCGTGTCGACAATTCTGAGCTGTATATTATAATATTCGTTAGAAATAATTTTGATTGTTTATAGTAGCAATAAATAATTTTAATTTGAACATAAGGACGGAACAATGCGTGTTTCCACCGAGATGACGCATTGTGCTGTCAAGTTAGCAGGGAATCTTAATGTAAATAGATGAGCACTTAGTCACTTTGCCCCGTACATGTTATAGAATGCATCTTATACTTTAAGAAGTCAAGCATTAAACTATAGGATATTTATTTCTTCTTATTAACCTTTATGCTAATTGTGTTCAAGTTCGATGGAAATGTTTGCTGCGTATGCATTCAGTTTAAAACTCCTTCCTGAACATGGAAATTGAACTTGCACTGGAGTGAATGCCACAATGTTTCAGGAATAAGTCCCCCGAATAACCCATATTCTCTGAGGCAAAGAAGATCTGACAGATGAAGAAAATTAACAGAAATTCATTATACTTAGGCGCTGCAGGTTGGTAAACTTCGTTTTTCTAAATATTAAATAAAAAAAACCCTCGACGAGACAAACGTGAATCTACGACTGGTTTAAAATCAAGGTTGGTTTGAAGTAGCGTTACGAATTAAGCTTTATTTCGCATATTTTAGGACATTTCCTCTGCACGTCCCCAGGCGGCACCTGTTGTATTTCCTTCACTCATACAAACGCGCTCATTATTAACAAAACGCTTAGTCCGTCTCAATCCTACTTAATTAAGAGGAAGATTTCTTATAGATTTATGTCGGGTTAACCGTCGGGACATCCATGCTACGGCCGTTAATCCGTTTCATCCAACCGTTAGCCTGCAAACTGTCCAAGACTCGCCGTGCCGATTGTCTTTTTGCTAGGATGTATTGCTCTCCATAATATTGTAAAGAGTCATGGAATTATGTTATATGTGTGTTATATGCCCGTCATCGTGAGCATGATTTTTACAACTAAATCATGAGAATTGCTTTGTCATTCATAGAAATTGGGCTTACGCGTTTAAATAGGAATTGTTCTTACTCGTGTATTACACGTTTAAAAAAATTGTTTGTTACTATTTTATTTATTTTTTTCCTGGATCAAGTTTTACTAAATTATATTTAAAATTTAGATACTCATGCTGTTGATGAGAAGTGGCGTAATTGTGCAATAAACGGGGATTTTAGGGGTTTTAAACGGGGACGTATGGGATTTTAGGGATTTCACATATTTTAGGGTTTTCAAGGCTGTCACTCAAACTAGTGGCAGCAGCTGAAAGTTGGCGCAGGGAAATTCATACCAGATACGCTATGCCAGAAATTGTACAAAATTTAAATTGAGGAGTCATGTGACACCACGACAATTAACGCAGCGTACTTTTGCTCACACGCATAGAATTGAATAGAATAGAAGTGTCGGCGTTGAAGAAATAGGCCCATGGCCTGTTGCCGATTCTTGAATTTTTCGTGACATGATTCACAAGGGATCCGGCCTTTGGAACCCGATCTTTCCATAGCTGACGATTGATTGAGATAGCTGCTGGACTTATTGCCCGGTCCGTAATTTGCTAGGCATTTTAAGACTGAACATATGCTCCTGCATAGCTTCTTCAGCAGCATTCGACAGCAACATACCATAAACAGGTTCCTTGATGCAGCGTGTACTGACTGAAGTGTAACAGTGTGTCAGCGATACATCAAGCCGGTGTGTTAATTGATGCAGCGTGTACTGACCGAAGTGTAACAGTGTGCCAGCGATACATCAAGCCGGTGTGTTAATTGATGCAGCGTGTACTGATCGAAGTGTAACAGTGTGTCAGCGATACATCAAGCCTGTATACTTGATGCAGCGTGCATCGGCCGAAGTGTAACAGTGTACCAGCGATACATCAAGCCTGTGTGCTTGATGCAGCGTGCATCGGCCGAAGTGTAACAGTGTGCCAGCGATACATCAAGCTGGTGTATTTGATGCAGCGTGTATCGGCCGAAGTGTAACATTGTACCAGCGATACATCAAGGTTTAATGCGGCGTGTATCTGCCGAAGTGTAACATTGTACCAGCGATACGTCAAGACTGTGTACACGCTTACTTGTATAGGAATTGAGGACTCGAAAGAATGGCCAAGCGTGGCTCCAGATCTGCCATGGCAGCGTCTCGACTCCTGATATTAGACCAGGTTCACTTGCTGCCTGATTTCTCTCATCATTCTTTCATCGGTCAAGAATCGCTATAACCAGACAGTGAGAGATTATAATTGATCCTCGACGCAGTTAGGAAATGAAAGACTTCAGAAGCATCATTTGAAGACTCACTGCTTTCGAGATTTTACAATTTCGACAAGAATTTTAGTACGTTTTCAAGATTTATTTACTCATAAGAGCTGGAAATGTTTTTTTAATGAAAAGTTAAATGATATTTCAAACGAAGAAAGAAAAGAAAAATTATCAGAATTAATGATATGATGCCGTTGATGCGTTAATGGAATTAAAAGTGTAAACAGATTTTTGGATCGTCTCAATACAATTCAATGACTCTCCACAAGTTTAAATTAAATCGTCTAATTGAGTCGTGATGAATTTACGCGTATACGGTAACCGGTAGCAGGTGCCAAAAAAGGAAAATGTTCGGTGCAGGTGCATGTAGGGCACTGTTTCCAATGTTGTGATGTAGGAATGTAATTCTTACTTAGAATCAATGTAGGAATACATTTATTATTTGTGAGAAGTTCACATTTGAGAACATTAATTAACATCATACTTCGATTCGGAGTAATGCTAGTATTGATTGTTATTTTTATATATTATATTAGTTACACGTGTTATTACGAGCGTTATAATTAACAGCCCAGGGAGTGCTTCACTGATGGATGCCCGCAAATTGAATAACCGCGAGTTTTTTGCGTTCGACTCACAGGTGACAGATTGTCGATATGACTTGTCGAGACGAGCTGTACATTAATAATCTCCTTGTCCGCAGACCAACGCTTATTATTTTCCTCGACTATTTCTGTCGACTGCAGTCAGGTTCTTCTAGGTTATTATGCGTCATATAGGCAGAACACGTGAGCCAAGGTATTGTAATTCTTCAAATTTATTGTGTCATTCGAAAATTGAAATTTCATTATTTTTGTGCACCCATCACTTGTTCTCTCTATCCTGCTGCGGTGCACATATATCAGTGTCCTCGTGCATTAAATAAAATCTGCTCTATATCCAGTCCAGTTTCTTCATGCATGGTGGGAGTAAAAAACATCCTTGTAATCCGAGATCAACAATCCTGCACGATGAGCTTTGAAGATCAACACAAATACGATCAGCGTGGAAATGAATGCTATGCTTTCATACGTAGTGCAGCAGGAAACGAGTAAACGAGAGCCATGTGCAGTGGCGTGCAAAATATGCTATTTTTATTCTAACAAAGGAAGAAGCATCGCTGAGAACATGAACCTTGAAGTTCATCAAGTTAATCAACACACGTGGACCATAATCGCAGCGTTCGCCGTTTAGTCAAGACGTCTGGTTACCTAAGGTGTATACTTTGGAGCCCTTGAAGGCTGCTACCGTCGCAAGAATTTTAATTCGTTACAGCTACCACGAGCCGCTTTGCAGGAGCTTAACATACGCCTCGAGCTAATTTATTAAGCATCATGTGTTGGGTCGTGGCCGTGATGGAACTTCCCGATGGTTTACGAGCCCTTGCTACAATGGACGACGACTTGCGCTCCTCAACTTCCCGTCGATCTTGGGGCTTCTCCTCATCATCATTCGATGGGACGAGCGTAAAATTTTCATTGTAGATATGATGAGGCCGGCGATTTATGTTGGCATTAAATTGAGACGAGCTTTACCATGGGAATGGGGCGCAAAGAGGCAGGCGTTGTGAGCGTCAAATCGCTGCAAGGATTCAAGTCGACTGCCAGCCTCCGACGCCTTTTTAAAGAAGACTTTTTGATGAGATGAAGTGCGCTGTCGTAAAATCTTTATTGTTGAACGTGTTGCTTCATGGCTCCTGATATTGAAAGCAAGTGAAGTGCGTATTGAGGTTTAAATGTAAGGTTG